TTTCGTTAGCATGGGGGAAAACAGAGGTGTTAATCCGGAAATTCATTGTCTTTTCCTGTTTGTGATTGGTCCTGGCAACGTTTGGGGGATCGTGACGTAGCTCCGACTGTGAGAATGGGTTAAGAGGTCAGAAACCTTAGCCCGTATTAAGAAAACTTGCGTAAATGCTTAGATGGTGGTAAGAAAGGATAAGAATAAGCTAAATCTGGCCCATTTTTAAGACCTTAATTTAATAAAATTTTGACAGTTTTTTGTATAATTATATTTGACAATTCATGTAGGGGGGAGGTAAGATGCACTGCCATTTCTATTAATTGACTGATTCATTAACTTGTGGATGTTAACAGGTTAATCCTTTATTGGAGGCATTTGGCAATGCACAGACTTTGATGAATGATAATTCAAGTCGATTTGGAAAATATTTATCCAGCTGAAATTCAAAGATGGAGTAGGTGAGAAGAGTGTATTTTATACTACTGCTGTACATACTTATGCTGTATTAGGTGTAGATTTGATTGTTGATTTTAGATCCTAATGATCATACCAATATCATCATCTTTTTATATTACTGTAGAATCATTTATGTTTTGAGCAATTTTACTTCTTCTAGTCTTCTTCTTCTAGTAACCATGGTTTTACAGGGATCGAAATACCCTAGTGCACACTGCACTATGCACATAGATTATTAGCTAGTGCAAGTAAACTCAAAATATAATGTGCACGCTGTGCATGTAGAAACAACATTTTCTCATTATATTCACTAAGCCTAAATTAAGTTCAACCAACATTGTGAAACAACTAAAAAAAAAAACAATTCTTTCGTGATCGCATCAATCGAGAACCCATAAATTTTATTTAAACTTTAAAGTAGTGCATTTCACAACAAGTTAGTGCAGGTAAATTTCAAATTCAACATGCACACTATGCATGCAGGGAAAAAATTCTATTTCAATCCCTGTTTTAGGTTCACAAACTTAGCAAGAAAACAATGGGTTTATGTAAATGTCAATTTTTATTATACATATTCACACTGACATTTAATTCAGCAAATTTTACTCTTCAGCACAAAACCATAGTTAATAGTTAACTAGAATAGAATACTTAATGCATTTACAGTATTTTCATGTTTATTATGTAACTGTAGATGAAACTCAAATAATAAAACAAAAATTATTTAAAAAAAAAATCATGGTTGCTTTTGAATAACAGTGTGATCTATCGTGTATCTGTCAGGATTACATAGTGTTTACTTTTCAGCTCACAGTAAACATTTAGTGTAAACACTGGTTGTGCACTGCATTTATTGACATCAGTCAAGGCACAGTCACTCTACTAGTAGAGTAACTATGGTCAAGGCCTTCAAAAAATGAATTTCTGATCAGTATGCAGGTCATTTTTGCAAGATCGATGTATGTCACAAATTTTGTTTTCAAATATTGTGTGTATGAAAAAAAGGTGCAATCCGGGACCAGAAACGAGTCTTTATTTTGGCTTAAACCTTTTTTTGAGCGTCATATTTTTTTTGCCAAAATGTTAGTGTAACATTTATTTCAATTTTTATGTAATTTCTACTGTTTGCATGATAATTTTAGACCAAATAATCATAGTATTGGCAGTGGTTCTTGATCAATATTTTGCAAAAAACAAATTGATATAGGTTTTATTTTGTGAAAGGTAAAAACACTTTGACACTTAAATGGTAATTTTACAAGTGAATATACATCAAATTCACTGAAATCAAACCCAGTGAATACCTCAAATTATGAAACTAAAAAATCCCACAGACATTATCGTCTTTCTCTAATCATAATGTTTAAATATTATTGTCAGTTATGGGAGCCAAAATTTCTGAGTACTTATTGGAGAAATCACGAGTTGTTTATCAGAATTGTGGAGAAGAAAACTTTCATATATTTTACTACATGTTGGCTGGACTATCAGAGACGAAGAAACAAAAATATAAACTTACAGATGCATCTAGTTATCAGTGAGTATTGATATATCGAGTACAGTACAAGCCTGCTATCCACACCATGTTATGCAGATTACTCCCTTTCAACAATAGTTTCTGGTAATATTTTGCTCATTAACCACGAAATTAATTAACAACGTCATGCAGTCGCACTTTCGTAAATGTATCAACTGTCGTATATTATTTGCAAATTAGCACCATGTTATATTTATCACACAATCAATGTCATGGTTACCGACCGACCATGGAAACAAATTTATAGATGTCTAGAATCTGACACATTTCTTCGTCATGCACGTTCGTAATTGAGTTGCGATAGAGTATCATACAGTGTTAAAGGGCGGTGGTTGTCATGCCACGTCCTGTTTGATATGGAACTCGTAACGCCGTATACAAAACGTGTAAAATACATTGTTTATTTACATGAAATTCGAACACGAGCTGCGTGTATTTGACATAATATTGAAATGAGAGCTACTTTCATGAAATGTACAGCAAAATATTTGTGGAAAACTAATTTGTTCTTTTCATTTTTCTGTTAGCAATGTGGTTGTTGCTTAGCACTTGAAACTTTTCTCACAGTAGATGCATGTGATTATTTCAAATTTTTTCAGATACATGTGTGAAGGACCGTCATCTTTAAAATCTGAGTTTAATCATCATAAAAATAACTTTGAAGAATTGTTAAATGCAATGGATTTAGTGGGATTTGAAGAGCAGGTAAATCAATCATGTAGTTTTATTCTTGTATTTACATGTGTTTTACATAATTAATGAGGCCTGCTACCATATATGGTCAAAGAGTTTTTCAAAGCTTCTCTTCTACAGTTCAGACAAACAATAAATAGACATGCCTTACTACTATCTCGTGGGAATGTCCTTAGCAACTAGAAACATGGTCATAGCAACCACGAAGATAACAGTACTTTTACAGAATTTCAACATTACATATGATTGGGTGCTATAATTTTTTCAACCAACATTTTCATGCATTTTTCCTATTTTTAACTACCGATATTTTTTGTTCTATTTTTCTTAATTTGATGATTTTTTGACCACATGGACATAATTTGCTATTGGCTTCACAAGGATTCATCAACATTTTTTTTTAAAAAAAGTATAAAAATGATTTCGGCTTTAATTTATGACTCGAGATAAAAGTTCAATTTAGAATTCAATGGTTAACCAGTAGGATGTATGAATTCTGACCATTCATAAAATTCTACAGTTAGCATTGAGAAAATCAGACAAAGGTATGAAACTAATAAATGTTTGTTTCCATTATTAATGTCTACACCTTAATGATTGTTATACATTTGTGTGAATTTGTTTGGTGTTTCAGGAACAAAGTGATATGTTTACAATTCTATCAGCCGTGCTTATGATGGGTAATATTGAGTTTCAAAGCAATGATAACGATTCCTCTTGCATCAAAGATACAAACCATGCATTGAAAAATACATCTGTAAGTATCAAATAAAATAATGCATAACGACACCTCACAACCCTATATGGTATGGCAGTCAAGATTAATTGACTATAGTCTGGCGCCCTGTGATGTGATTTTTGTCCATGTTTGCCGACCACCGGTTCATATCTGATGTAAAATATTGAGTGTGGATCAGCACTAGATTATGATCTACATTTGAATCCATCAATTTTCTTGAATGCAGTGTGCATTATTCTAATAACCACCTGTTGGAGTCCTATATACCTTGAATGCAGTGTGCATTATTCTATTAACCACCTGTTGGTGTCCCATATACCTTGAATGCAGTGTGCATTATTCTATTAACCACCTGTTGGAGTCCTATATACCTTGAATGCAGTGTGCATTATTCTATTAACCACCTGTTGGAGTACTATATACCTTGAATGCAGTGTGCATTATTCTGATAACCACCTGTTGGAGTCCTATATACCTTGAATGCAGTGTGCATTATTCTATTAACCACCTGTTGGAGTCCTATATACTTTGAATGCAGTGTGCATTATTCTATTAACCACCTGTTGGAGTACTATATACCTTGAATGCAGTGTGCATTATTCTGATAACCACCTGTTGAAGTACTATATACCATGAATGCAGTGTGCATTATTCTAACAACCATCTGTTGGAGTCCTATATACCTTGAATGCACTGTGCATTATGCTAACAACCATCTGTTGGAGTCCTATATACCTTGAATGCAGTGTGTATTATTCTGATAACCACCTGTTGGAGTCCTATATACCTTGAATGCAGTGTGCATTATTCTATTAACCACCTGTTGGAGTCCTATATACATGTACAACTGTAGCTATAGGTTCCCTACATTTTAAAATGATTTTTAGCTCCGCTGTCGACTTTGTCGAGTGGAGCTTATCATATGAGTGATTGTCCGTCGTCAGCGTCGTCCGTCGTC